AACCCAGCCTGCGCTCTTTGATGCGCTGAAACGCTGGATCGAAGTCATTGAGCAGTATGACTTCGAACCCCAGTATCTCAAAGGTGAGTACAACAAAGTTGCTGATGCGTTGTCGCGTAGGCCAGATTTCTCGGGTGCGCTGCTCATTGAGTTTGGGTTTGCGGACGATGTTACTCGTTCATTGGTGGAAGCCTATCGCGAGGATCCGTTTATGGCCGAGATCATACGCAGACTCGAGGCGAAGGACAAAGCGACTTCAGCCGAGTTTGAGTTGGTCAACGGCCTGCTGTTCCTTGTGAAGGCCGGGAATAAACGTCTGTGTGTGCCCAATCGGGAGTCTTTGCGTAGTTTATTTCTGGGTGAGTATCATGATGCCACAGGACATTTTGGTTATAAAAAGACTGCAGCCCACTTGCTGCAGCAGTTCTGGTGGCCCACAATGATGAGAGACGCCAAGCTGTACGTGGAGACTTGTCAAGTATGTCAGAGAGACAAGCCACGTACACAGGCCCCTCTTGGGCTTCTCAAGCCCCTTCCGATTCTGGAAAGGCCCGGTGAGAGCCTGTCCATGGACTTCATGGACACACTGGTCACCAGCAAGAGTGGAATGCCTATGTCTATGTCATTGTGGATAGGTTTAGTAAGTATGCTAGGTTAGTCGCTATGCCTGCAACAGCCAAAATGGAGTATGTGATTAGACTGTTCAAGGAGAACTGGGTCAGGGACTTTGGGCTTCCTAAGTCTATTGTTAGTGACAGGGATGTCAGATGCACAAGTGAATTGTGGAAAGCTGCAGCCGCAGAACATGACCTCCGGGAACCACCCAGAGGCAAATGGCCAAGCGGAGCAACTGAACCGCGCTATACAACACCTGCTGCGGCACTACATCAAGCCTAATCAGGTGGATTGGGATGAGAAACTTGCTCTCATCGCCAGTTCGTACAACAACGCTGTGCACAGCGCCACTGGGGTGAGCCCTAACAGTCTGCTACTGACTTTCAAGCCTAGACTACCCCTTGATTTCCTACTACCTGAGAACCAGCCGACTGCTGCACCTGGTACACTAGAGTTCGCATATCGATATGAACAACTGATGCAACAGACGATAGAACAGATGCACAGGGCACAGGCAGCAATGATAGATTCTGAGAATAAGCACCGCCGCCCATCTACATTCCAAGTAGGGGACAGAGTCTGGGTAAAGTCCTCAGAACTGGGTCAGGAGCACGGGATCTCCCGCAAGCTCATGCCTCAGTACTTCGGACCCTGGGAGGTTCTAAATATCGTTGGGGATGATCCGGATGGGCCTTCATATGTAATTCAGATCCCTGGTCACCTTCGCACTTACCCAGTTTTCCACGCCTCCAAGCTCGCACCTTTCAGGGAAACTGACCAGTTTCCTTCTCGTCGCTCAATGCTGCCCCCAACCATGGATGGAGGGGTCGACATCAACGACATCGTGGATCACAGAGAAATGCCAGTAGCAAGACTGACAGGCAGGGGACGTCCTCCGAAGCCGAAGCTGCAGTACCGAGTTCGGTTCAGACATCACACTGATCCAAAGGAGGATAGATGGTTCACACGGGAGGAACTCATGCAGACCGCTCCACAAGTTGTCGCCCACTATGAGAAGTTGCTGCAGAAAGGAAACTGCCAGATTGGATGAACTTCTCAGAGGACTAGCGAAGTCTGGAGGAGGAAATGCAACGCACAAGGCCTCAATAAGCCCCACTGGGCCCTGTTATCAGCAAGCTCGGCCGCCCTAAGTGAAGGCAGGCCCGACCGAGGCCTATTTTGGACTACTACGCAACTGGGGAAAATTCAGGCAGTTCCGCAGCGCCAGTTGGTTGGAAGCACCCAAGCCCAGGCTGCCTTTCATCGTATGTAACTGAGGCAGGCCCTGGGCCAGATACACAACATGGACCAAACAAAGGCTGAGGACAGTTGGGCGCTAGTAACCACCACAGGCCCTGGGCCTGTTTCCTTTGAACTGAGGCTCAGCGTCCTGGGGCCTACCGGAAGCTTCTGGGCCGGGGCCCAGTACCGCATTACCACACGCAGCAGCAGGCCACTTCTATATAGGGAAGGGCCTGCCCACGCATTGGACATTCGGGCACTGGCTGCATGCTGCGCAGGCGCTGCTGCGCTAACGCTGGCCAGCGCTCACGCGCTCACKGGCGAGCTGGAAGGAGCAGGCAGCCATAGCCGAGCTGCGCTGCTGTATGCTGGATGGGGCGCRTGGTGGTCYTTGGGTGCAKGTGGCATCTGTGAGTTGGGGAACGAGGTTGTGAGTGATACGAGAGACATACCTGGTGCTTGAAGCGAACGGCATTGGCCGAGATCTGCTCGTACTTCGTGGAGCTGTTGACGTCACCAGCGGCATTGTAGACAGGCTAGATAGGATCTGCCATTTGCAGTCTGGGCGCAAAGTGCCAGATAGGATGTCGACATTGGTTCTTTGTTGATGATGATGAGACTACTCGAACATTGTCACTTATGAGCTTTTGCTGTACTATTATTTGGTGGGACTCGTGTTGCAATTCTGCTTTTGGTTCGAGGTCACGACTATCTGGTCTCATGTGTATGATGCTGCTTGGTTTCTGATGTTCGCTATCGCTCATTTTCCTTGCAGAAAAAGAAGGGGAAAAAAAAAAAAAAGGTTATCGAAAAAAAAAAACAACGCCACAACGAATCCGAAGCACTGATGGTTCTATGTTTCACATTTTGTGAACAGTCCCTCTGCTAGGAGAGGTGATAAGAGCACCCCCTCCTAGCGGGCTTCCTGGCTGCTCCATTCTATTGGTGGGGAGCCGCACCTGCTCGAAACCGGGTCCAGCGCCCCCTTACACTTTCAACGGCTTGGGAAACTAACCGAGTTAAACCACCACTCCAAAAACAAACAAAAAAACAAAAAAACACAACTCCATCCCGACCCCTATTTTCACAAACAAAAGTTGCATTTCCCCAAGCCTAAGATCTACAGTGTCGCCCTGAGGAAAAGTAATTGTGGTACCGAGCCTGCGTACCCTAGATTTCGGCCAGGTACTTTTAGACAAGAGAAATGACAGTGCGGGGTTAATTGGAGTGGTGGTTTAAACTTTTTCCAAAGGCTTGGGAAACTAACCCAGGTAGGTTCAGGAAGGCGCTCACGAGGGTACTGGTGCTTTAAACCCCCCTTAAACCTCATTTATACCCCGCTCCTCAACACTGACAAGCAAAAACAAGCCCAGATTTGGGCTGCTTTCAGTGGGTGCAGAAATGCCCCACCAACGGAGAGAAAAAGAGAGAAAAAAAAAAAATTCGGAATTTTAACATGCCCAGGTTGACCCCAGGCGAGTCACCCAGCTGCCTAGCCGGGCGTTCCAAGTAACCCTATTCCTGCTCACAATGGAAACAAGGTTAAAAAAGCAAAAAGTGCAAAGCAACAAGACCTCGAGCTACCACAGCTCTTCTGTGTCTTCTTGTCCAAATAACCCACCAAAACCAGCACATGAACACCTTTTTTCCTCCAGAAAAGCCCGAACCACCCACTTCAAGCACCCGCATGAATGCAGAAAACTAGACCAGGTGCAAATAAGGGCAAGTGGGGTCAAGCAGAAATCTCATGCAGACGTGACCACAGGTGTCTAGGCGTATCCGAAAATGTCAAGGAGTGTTACAATTGGAACGATGCAGAGAAGATCGGCAGGTGGCCCTTTATCCTTGTGTAAATCGAGAAATGGTCCAGACACAACAAAAAGAGAAGCACGGCATGAAGTCTGACGCAGCTCATAGGAGGGGATACAGGGGAAGCAAAGGATGAAAGGAAGGGGGAAGATTAGGGAGCGATAAACAAGAGGGAGGGAGTTAAGATTGCAGGAAGGAACGAGACAAACGGAACGGAAGCAGTGAAGGGGCGAGGGACACAAAGGTGGGAACAGGGTAGGCACGGGGCAGACAAGTACGGAAGATAGCCGAGGAGACAACAGAAAGCAAAGGTAAGAAAGAATGCAAGAAGTAGAAGCCGAGGAGGTGCAAAAGGGACATGTAGGGAGGCAGGGAAGCAGGGAGGGAGGAAG